CTGCTGCTTGTCAATCAACTGACCGCCCCGCCTCAGGCCGAGAGCGCGGGAAAGGCCTCGGAAGGCAAGCGGGCGGCGGCGGCGGGCCGCGACCCACGGTGAGGTGATTCGGGTTTAGGGGGTTGCGTCTGTGTTTGTGTGTGTGTGTGGGGGGGGTTTGTGCACTCGTCTTCCCCCTCCCGTCAGGGCCGACCCAAGGCGCTTCTGCCGCCTGAGGCGGAGGATCCGTTCACCCCCACACCCACCCCCCCACCCGAAACGCGGTCTTGGAGAGCCTTTATTTAGTTAAAAATGGTGCGCGCGCGCGCGCACGCACGCACGCACGCACGCACGCACACACGCACGCACACCCCCCGCCGAGGAAGGATTATGATTCAGGAACATTTTTTGTGGCACCCTCGATGAGCCTCGTCCCTCTGTATTGCCCTCTTCTCTCTCTCCCCCCCGTTTCCATGGCTACCTAAACTGTGGGGATGGGGGTGAGGAGAAGAACGTGTGGTTGGACTACAAGTCCCATTCATTGACCCTCCTTGGATGGGGCTGATGGGGGTTCGGACAACGCCTCAAGGGTTTCCGATCTGGGATGGCCCCATAAAAAGGATGCCTCAAATTTGGGATCGCAAATGTTCTTGGACTACAACGTCCACAAGCCTCCGGGCATGGGCTGTGTGGGCTAGGGCTTCTGGGAATTGTAGTCCACAAAACATCCAGGGCCCCAGGTTCAAGAATATTTTATATATATAAAAATGCGGCAATTCTCAAACTTGGGTCCCTGGATGGCTCCAGAATATCAGGGAGAGACAGGACTCACTGGAAAGGGCAATAATGCAGGGAAAACCTGAAGAGGGTAGGAAAAGAGGAAGACTCAATAGGAGATGGATTGACTCAGTAATGGAAGCCATGGCTTTGACTTTGAAAGACCTGAGCAAGGGCTGTTAATTATAGGAGCTTCTGGAGGTTACTACTGTATATCACAGGGGTCAGCAAAAATCGGAAGTGACTTCACTGCCACATGACAAGAAAGGGCTAACAGATTTATTTCAGTGTGGCCTTTTGTGGATTACAACCCATTTCCTCCAACACAATTGGATACATCAATTATTCTGAAATAAATCTGTTTATCCTAAAGGCGCCACAATCTCTCTCACTGGATACATCAATGATTCTGAAATAAATCTGTCTATCCTAAAGGTGCCACAATATCTCCCCCCCCCCGTTATGTAAGATGTCTGTTTCTTTACACATTTATGTAGATTTGTTTGAGACAAACCTTTAAATCTTTATTGAATAGGTGGAGAAAATGCCTCTGTCACAAAAGCCGATGAGATACGGGCACACGGAAGGCCACACTGATGTCTGCTTTGATGACGCTGGAAGGTATATGGCTGGGGCACATTTTCTGAAATTATAGGTCGCTCTGATTTCCCCCTCCCCCAAGTTTCTATGAATTCTTCCATGTTTGTTGTCACATGCATGGTACAGTTTTTGCTTGATGATGGTAATGTGGGCTGCATTCTGTTTTTCCCACTTGAAAAACAAGGTCAGCAATGCACATAGCATCACATACAGTGGTGCCTACGGTGGTGCCTCGCTAAACAGTTACCCCACATGACAGTACAGTTTTGATGATGGTAATGTGGGCTGCATTCTGTTTTTCCCACTTGAAAAACAAGGTCAGCAATGCACATAGCATCACATACAGTGGTGCCTACGGTGGTGCCTCGCTAAACAGTTCAGTTAGAGCAGTTCACACAGCATCCCATATCTACAAACAACAGCTTGGAACAAACAACAGCTTGGAACAGCTTGGAACCTTTTCGGGACTACTTTTGGGCTAGGCTGGGGGAAAGTGGCAGTTGTAGTGTACAGTTGTGCCCCGCTTTACGATTGCCCCGCATTACGACGAATCTGCTTCACAATAACAGTTTTGTGATCGCAAAACGATGGTCTAAATAGGGTTTTTTTGCTTTGCGATGATCGACTTTCTTTAACGGCTGATCAGCGGTTTCAAAATGGTTGCCGGGTAATTAAAATGGCTCCCTGCTGTGTTTAGGGACGGATTCCTCGCTATACAGGCAGCGAAAATGGCCGCCGTATGGAGGATCTTTGCTGGATTGTGAGTTTTTAGCCCATTGGAACACATTAACCGGGTTTTAATGCGTTTCAATGGGCTTTTTATTTTCGCTTTACGACGTTTTTGCTTAACAGCGATTTTCCTGGAATGGATTATCGCCGTTAAGCGAGGCACCACTGTATCAAGGGAGGGTTTCCAAAGCACTGGTGTGAAGTGTCTTTGTTACATTTCGAACAACTGGAAGTGCCAGTTTGTACTGCCTGCATTACAGCTTGGAACTGTTACCTTTTCTGGACTACTTTTGGGCTAAGCTGGGGAAAAGTGGCAGTTGTAGTGTATCAAGGGAGGGGTTTTTTTGTGAAGTGTCTTTGTTACATTTCGAACAGCTGGAAGTGCCAGTTTGTACTGCCTGCATTAGATCAGAACTGGAGGCCAGGCTGGCCCCAGCCTTGCCGTGGGATCTTTTTAAGGAGAAAGGTGGGGTAAAATTATTTTAAATTAACAAATAAAGTAAATAGAACATCTAAGAGCTGCAGCATTACAAGCACAATGCACTGAGTTTTCCTTATCAACAATATACTATATTCCTCCTCTGAAATATTTTTTGTCTCCTTACTGGATTGGAGTTGATTCACTTTTGTAACTTTGCAAAAAAAAAAACAAAACCCAAAAAACCCATGGGCCAGAATTCTATTGATAGAATAATGGAGTTGGAAGGGTTCTATAAGGCCATCAAGTCCAACCCCCTGCCTAATGCAGGAATCCAAACCAAAGTAGATCTGACAGATGGTTTTCTAATTTTCTCTTGATTGCCTCCAGTGCTTGCTTGTTTATGCTTCTGTAAAGGAAATTGTGTAAGTCTTGCTGGCAAATTGCCACTCATTAGTGATCAGAAGTGCATCCAGGTGCTTAATCAGCAATTTGTTAATGAGAAACAATTTACCATCGGTGATTTTTTTAATGCAACCATAAATCTGGCTTGTATTTTAAATCTCAAGGGTATGTTTGCTTGTTTCATGTACTGTCTTATATTTTATGTGGTTTTTTAATGCTTTATGTTACATTGCTTGTTAGCTGCATTTAGTTATCATTTGTGAAGAGATGGCAGATTGGTTTAAATAATATTGAGGTAGTGTAGTTTCACAATCTTGAACCAAAGTTTAGTGCAGCTGTGTACAGAGACATACATGGTCTAAGAAGATTATACAGTGGCACCTCACTAAACGATGACCCCGCTAAATGATGAATCCGCATAACGATGACTTTTTGCAATCGCTATAGCAATTTGCAAAACAGTAATTTCTATGGGGGTTTTTCACTGGACGTCGATTAGATCCCTGCTTCGCGAACCGAGTTCCTTATGGGAGTTTTTCGCTGGACGTTGATTAGGTCCCTGGTTTTCAAACCGTTTGTTCGCAAGACAGCGATTTTTTCGGCTCCACAAAATGGCTGCCATGTTTTCAGGACCCATGCTTCTCAGGGCAGCCATTTTTACAGCTGATCAGCGCTCGCAAAATGGCTTCCCTATGGACGATCTGTGCTGGACGAAATGGTATTTTCCCCATTGGAACGCATTAAACCGGGTTTCAATGCATTCCAATGGGTAAAGGGTTTTCGCATGACGACGGTTTCGCTAAACAGCTATTTTCCTGGGATGAATTATCGTCATCATGCGGGGCACCACTGTATATCTTTTCAGCCAGGTGGAGTAGAGAAAAGAGAGTGGGAGCATCAGGTAGCCTGTCGTGGGACCCATGATAGCCAAATATGGAATTTAGATGCTGTATATATCCCCCCTTTTTCAGCGTGGCAAAGCTTGACACCCCCAAAAGTAGAGTTCACTAGTACCAAATCACTTTGCAAAGGTCATCATATTAACAGATATAAACCTTTCCAATGTAGGTTATGGTTTTCTCTGTGTAACTTGGATGAGGAACACAGGAAGTTTCTCAGATTGCAGCAAACCATCTGGCCCAGTCTAGTAGACACTGACTGGCAGCATCTTTCCAGGGATGGAAGTAGAATTCTTTCCTAGCCCTACCTGGAATTGCTAGAAATTAGAGTTGGTGCCTCTGTATGCAAAGCGTGAACCCTAACACTGAGCTATGCTGTCTGCTTATTCAGCATGTCCCAAGAAGTTTCCTTCTTTCCTTATGTCCTATTTTGCTCTCCAGCATCTTCAGTAAGCACAACCGAGGCCCATTTTTCTGATGTGGAAAAAAAACTTTAAAAGTCATTTTCTTTTCCTGGTAGCATCTAGGAATGCACTAACATGGCATGTAGCCCCGTGCCACGTACAAAAATGAAATCGGCAGTGAATGGCCAGCACATTTTGTTTTCATTTTTTGTAATTTTGGCTAATTTTATCACCCAGTGAGTGCTAGGGGTGGAAATTTGGCCCTCAGACCCATCAAAAGTATCCATTGCAGATGACAGGCATAAGGCAGAGTTATTCCCCAAATATTAGTTTAGGATGCCTCAGCCTTATAAAATGCCATCTTTATCCAGCAATGTTTCTGTTGGTTGGTAGAGGTATTTCCTTTGAGGAAGAAGCACACCAGGCTAGAGGGTTCTACTGCTGTTAACTTCAAGGAAGATTTTCCAAGTACAGTGGTGCCTCGCTAGGCTGTTAACTTCAAGGAATATTTTCCAAGTACAGTGGTGCCTCGCTAGACAGTTACCCTGCATGACAGTTTTTTCGCTGGACATTGACTTTTTGCGATCGCTATAGCAATTCGCAAAACAGTGATTCCTATGGGGGAATTTCGCTGGACAATATTTGGTCCCTGCTTCGCAAACCGATTGTTGCTAGACAACGATTTTGACAGTTCCCTCCGTGCTCGCAAAACAGGTGTTTTCGGGACCTAAGCTTCGCAAGACAGCGATTTAAACAGCTGATTGGCGGTTCGCAAAGTGGCTTTCCTATGGCCGATCTTTGCTAGACAACAGTGATTCTTCCCCATTGGAACGCATTAAACAGGTTTCAATGCATTCCAATGGGGAAATGCTTTTTGCTAGACGATTTTGCTAACCAGTGATTTCAGTGGAACGGATTATCATCGTCTAGCGAGGCACCATTGAAATTATGGGAGGCTTTCATATATATATATACAATTTTTTTCTTTTTTCTTTGAATAGCTGCATTGTGACCTGTGGCAGTGATGGAGATGTCAGGATTTGGGACAGTCTAGATGATGATGACCCCAAGTCCATTAATGTGGGAGAAAAAGCCTACTCGTTTGCTCTCAAGGTACTGTGGGAGAAGTATTGGTATCAGCTGTGCTACAGGGATGCTATGGGGACTAATACACCAATAGGTGTTCCAATAAATGCATACATATTTAAGATTTGTGATAGTAACCCCATTGAATAGGCATTATTATTAGGAAAATACTTAGTGTAAGCTGTGCTGCTACTTGCTGTATTGGTTTAGATTTCAGCCACTTTGAACTGTCTGATGCCATACAAGGTATCATTTTAAATTGAAGATAGTGATTTCCTGTTCACAAGTAAGAATTATGACTGATAGCTTGTTAGTTAGTGGCAATTCACAGTTACTTGGGCTATTTAGCTTGCATATGTTTAAATCCCCAGCAGGATTTTGGCTGTGGTGTAGTAAATATTTTTCTGGGTTTACAGGTTCGGTCACATCCTTTCCACTAATTTTAAGTTAGGCTTTTGTTACAAGGCCTAACAAAACTTCATTGCAAGCGTTTTCTTCAGCTTGGTGTACAAACTGGAGTTTTTCAATATGGCATTTTGCTTGTGAAACGTGCGCCAAGAGTGCCCCCTTGTGAATATGGAAAGTTAACGCCATTCTATTAATTTCTGTGAGAACATCAGTACCTAAATTTACCAGATTTTAATCTTTTACTATAAGTCTGGTTTTGGTATCTGGCTGTGGGACCAGATGTTGGGAGGTTGGTTTCCCACTGGGCCTCCTGGGAAAAGAGCCAGCCTGGGTGTCCTTGGGCCAGCTGCACAGCCCCAGGACACTCCCAGAAGAAGGAAGCTATGAACCGTTTCCAAGTACACTGGTGCCTCACACAACGATGTTAATTGGTTCCAAAAAAATCAACGTTGTGTGAAACATCGTTCTGTGAAACACCATTTCCCATAGGAATGAATTGAAAACTGGTT